TTAACCATGCTCACCTGCCTCAAGTTCTTTGGCTATGCTTAATCATGAAGATGACCACCCCCCATACTTTGACTTTGGTGCGTTTTGTAAAAAAGGCCCTAACGGCTAGGTTTCAAGACAACTAACCCCATATCTCTGGACTGCCTTCATAGTTTTAGCTTAAACTTTGGGAAAGTAATCAAATCTGTTGTACAAACTGGTCCACGAAAGTTTGAAACGAAATAGCCAATAAATTGTGAAAAATTATTTTTTGATTAAAGCYAATAAATGAAGCATATTGAACAAATCCAAATGGTCGTGATTAATATCACCCCAAAGTGTATCATTGGAACAGTTGATGCACATAGACTTGGTGATCACTATGCTTTACCAAGCCACGAGGAACAACGCCCGGTTCAGTTGTTCAACGTTTCTTCCGACGATGATCTAAGTAGCAGGGAAAGTAGCAGCGATAGTGAAATGGACTGTTGAGCAAGTTGAGAATCTTCCAACACCCCGCCCTACGTCACAAACCAATCTATTGTTTTCACGATAACGATAGTGGGTTGTAGTGGGGACCGTAGTGTCAATACTACTATAATATGGTTGAATAAAATTGTGCAATTTGATTGGCTTAGAGGAGTGGTATTTATCCTTGATAATGGTATTTCAAATTGCACAATTTTATTCATCCGTATTATAAACAGATAATAGCATGTTTTATACGTGAAATTTGGGATAAATACCACTTGACATGACTTGAGATATTTCAGAATTGTCACAAACTTTTTTTTTGACAATTTTGAAATTTCACGCGTTGCATTTATCCGAAATACCACTACAAAACATGGTATAACCTATACAAACACGGTGCAGACCGTTTATTTACTTTACGCGGCAATAAACGGTCTGCACGCACGCTAGAAAAATAATGCGGGATCAACGATCAACTTACTAGCCTGAGACTAGTCAATATAACTTCTAGACATATAAACTATAAACGAATTGCTAACAACAAGACTAGTTTGATAGAGTGCACACAATATGTCTGTGAAATTAAAAACTAAATACTTGATGCTGAATAATAGTTCTTAGATAGGAACTATTCAGATACTCCTATAGTGGTCAACCACACAAAAGAGCTAGATAAAGGCACAAACAAAGGGAACAATACTTCATTACAACTTCACTTGTTTAAAATAGTTACTAAGTAAGAACTATAAAGACACTTTAAACTTAAATGATATCTCACAGACATATTGCTTGCTCTCTAAATTAAACGTTTAGTTTAATTAGTTACTATAACAAAAACGACCAATAAAATGGTCGGGATTCAGTTTTGATATGATGCGGTGCTTGTTCATTCGGATGTTAGTGATGTTTTCGTTTTTTCCTACAAATTGCAGTTAACACTTCGTGCAAGTTATTAGGTATATCATCAACGAAGATTGGCAATGAAGCTCATGAAAAATCTTGTATTTGGTTCCATACGATGTGCTTTTAAAAGAATTTGTGAGTAGATAAATATATTTTGTAGGTTTTCTGACAGTTACAGTTCGAGATGAAATTTTGATCCTATAATTTAGAAAACTGTTGTCTATAACGGAAGACTATGAATGATTATCGATATGACTACTATTCATAACATTCCTCGTTCATTTGATGATTTTTTGGCATAGTACATATCAAAGAATAAACTTAAAGAAAATTATCAAGTAAAATTCAAAATGGTCAAAATTTGAGTCTCCAAGAGCGCTTATATATCAATCAAATAACAAATTAAATTTGAATTATGTCCAGGGGAGAATCGCCGCAGTCCAAAGGACAACTTTGAGTTGTGTCATAATTCAGTCCAGCTGCGTTATATACCTTTAAAATCTAATTTTCACATCTAAACAAGCAACTCCTCGTTGACTTTAAAAAATGTTGGTGAATATGCAGCGGCTCCATAGTATCTAACCATATCAAGCTCAACGAGGATTTATCAAACAACGAGATTCAAAAGGATAATCTGGTTTTGGCTTAAGAAAAGGTAAAATGACTTCAAAACAAGATATAAAATTTGTGAGAGCAGATGCTAATCAACGTAGAAAGAATTTGGATCCATTGAATTGTGCAAAATGGTGCTTCGTCTTGGTTTCTTTGCTCCCATCCTCACCTATTGCAGGAGAAGGAATTTATAAAGACGGTCAAATTATTATTGGAGCTCTTCTACCAGTTCGATACCAAAATGAATACGGTTTATGTCGCGGGATGTTTCGGTATTATGGACTTTCTGTTGTGGAAGCAATGTTATATGCCATAGAATCCATAAACAAAGATAACTCCCTCTTAACAAATGTGACCTTGGGATATGATATCATAGACGTTTGTACAAGCCCAGCATCGGCAAATACCATGSCATTCGAGTTTGTTTCTAGGAATAAAGCTACAAAACTCAAGTACCAAGTCAATGACACAGCCGACAACTTTCAAAAATATTTTGGCATTCTTCGGAAGCCGATTGCAKCAGTTGTGGGAACTGGAGATTCCAGCAGCTCTGTAGTTGTCGCCAGCATGTTGAATATTGATGATATTCCTCAAGTCAGCCCGTTTGCCACTAGTGTRGAACTSAGYCAGCCCTATTTCAAGACTTTTTTCAGGCCAGTTCCACCAGACGGGCAACAAGCCAAAGCCCTCGCTGACCTTGTAGACTATTTCAAATGGAAATACGTTTACGTCGTTGGTGTTGATACGTCGTACGGGAGATATGGCGTTATGGCATTTGAGAATGAGGCATTAGAAAGAGGAACCTTTTGCATATCTCGCATATCCTACTTCCCGACGTCCGGTTACCAGCAAATAATAAAAGAGATAGTGTCAAAAATCAAACTTGAGACAAATGTGAAAGTAGTTGTCTTGTGGGGTGGCATTGCTACTTCGAGTCGCTTTATAGAAGAAGCGTACCGGCAGGGCATTACTGGGCGAACTTGGCTTGCACCTGAAGCTTGGTCCGAGGCAACACCTCTCTTTATAAACAAATACATGAAAATAATTGGAGGATTTATGGGAACAAAGCTGCGAAACTACAACCTTGATGGATATTTTCGCCATTTAACCAGCTTGAACTATTCATCTGCAAGAGTTCAGAACCATACTTGGTGGAGAGACTACTGGATGATCCAGCAAAACTGTAAAAACATCTTAACATGCGACTTTCTGAACTTCCGCATCACCAAACAACGATATGAAGACRTGTATGTTAATTACCTCCCTTACGTCATCGACTCAGTATATGCGATTGCGCATGCCATAGATGCTATATACCGTTGTCGTGGGAATGATTGTCCAATGACTGAACCATTTATTGATACAAAAGACATTTTGAGATACATGCGCAATGTAACGTTCGAAGGAGTAACGGGAAAAGTCGATTTTGATAAGAATGGGGACTCCATTAGTTCGGCCGCYTATGATATTGTTAATTTACACGCAGGGACTATTGCTCCTCAATTGAAGATTGTTGGCACTTGGGATCGAGGCAAAGCAAGGCGATTAAATATAAGCAATAGTTCATTGTATTGGAACACCGGCACCAACAAGGTTCCAGTATCGGTATGCAGCAAGCCCTGTCCACCAGGATCCATGCAGACAGTGACAGTAGCATGCTGCTGGAAGTGCATCCGCTGCCCATTTGGTTTTATTAGTCAGAAGTATAGCTCCTCACAATGTACGGAGTGTCCGATAGATAAAATGCCTGACAATGATCGGACAGAGTGTATTGACTTTCCTGAAATGAATATCTCATTTCATGATTCCCAGTCTATTGTTCTCCTTGTRGTGGCGGCCTTTGAGCTTATTTTAGTTCTCTTTGTCCTTGTCATCGGTTTCAAATACCGAAATACGCCAATTGTCAAGTCTTCCAATCGAGAAATGAGTGTCTTATTTCTTTTCGGTATAGTCGTTGGTATAGTATCTGGAGTTATCCGCCTTGTTCGCCCTACACCGTTGATTTGTTATTTCAATAACCCTCTTCACGCGCTCTACTATACGCTATGTTTGTCCATTCTAATCGTCAAGACCAACAAGTTGGTKCGAGCGTTTGAATTGAATTTTGCCATATCAAGAATTAGTCAGTTTTGTACCGGTAAGAAGGGGCAATTTTTAATTCTGTTCTTTTTGAACATGATACCAATATTACTGGTAACATTGTGGCATGTACTCGATCCTCCTTACGTTCACATTACAACGCAACGTTTTAAGTCAAAGCACTTAGAATGTAAAGGACATAAGGGAACTGTTGGCCTTGCTCTTCAAGCATCATTGTATGCATACCAGTTTATTCTRTCCATCKTCTGTGCTTWCTACGCGTTCAAGGCCAGGAATCTACCAGAAAACTTTAGTGAAGCACGTTATATTGCCTTTACAATGTACATGCAGCTTCTGTGTTCAATGTGCTATGCTATATTGCAAAACACYGTGAMGGGAAATTTTTTAACAATTTTCTCATCAGCAATCATAATTCTAAGTTCATTAGGGTTTCTGGTGTGTATGTTTGCTCCAAAGGTTTACATCATTCTGAAATTCCCTGAGAAAAATACAGTGGAATATGTGAAAGCGTCTGTGGCAAGTCACTCTTTTCAAAGAAACGTAAAAATCAAACCCCTTGGTGTTGCTACGGGAACAGATGTCTGTCATGGCAACAACAACCTTAGCGAAACAATCACCAATCGTCAATCAAACGTTCTTAGCAGGGGTACAGTGAAAGTCAGAGAATCCTGTGAAGACTCGGATGGAGTTGCCATGGTAACAGAAGTTTACAAATCCAATCACAACCGCGCTTTTAAAGAAGAGAAGAAAGAAGAGCACTGTCTAGATAAAATATCCGGTACCTTTTTGAAGAAACAGCGAGGTTCGGATGTCCCCACAAATGCGGACAGTTTTGAGGCTACCATTTCTGACAGTCACGAAATGAATATTTGAAGGCAGAAAAACGACAATCCTGGCCAAGAGCAATCAGCTTCGAAAGAAAAAGGGTGTCYGAATAGTAACAATGATATCGAGAGCCCGGCCATTTTGGAATTTGAAATATAGCTGAATCCTTAAGATCAAGCAAACACTGACATTTAA